TATATAAGCTGGTACATAATATTGTGCCTGTCACTTGTGCAAGCATCCTAATATAATACCTGTGAACATTGTTAAATGCAAATTCAAAAGCAGATGAAAAAAGACCCAAGCCATCAAATTTGCCTTCTCTGGTCTGTGTAGCCTTTCAATTTGATTTGCATGCTGTGGGGGAAATGAAATCGATAGGTATATTATTTTTGTGTCTCTCCTTGACAGCTACATAGTAATCCACAGGACTGGCCCAAGACACTTACTATCTGAGGCAAAGGAAAAAAATGGTGTCCTCACCACTTCAGGTATAATGTCTGATTGGATTTATTTCAGTGGAAGCTGGTTGGCACCCAGATCTCACCCAACAGCTTGCTGCCTCTTCCTACCATCTGCTGCCTGAGACAAGTGTCTCTCTCTGCCTAATGATAGGGTCACCCATGGATGTCTGATTCAAAATGCAGTTGCCATGGACTACTTTTAGCTGAACCAAGACCATCCTTTTAAATCATGCAGGATCCCCAAGAGTATTGAACTAAATCCCTCAATTATACAACGAGGTCACAAGGATATGGTCTCAAAGGGTGAATTTGAAACAGTGTTTAGTCTCAGATCCTCTGGAATCCACATGCCTTCAGATCTGGAAATGTCAGAGGCCTTCAGACTGAGAAGAGATGACTCACTAGAAAGGGTAATAATGCTTGGTATGATAGAAGGGCTCTTCATGACTTGGAAGTCTATCATTCATAGGGTCACCAAGAATAAGAGGCAGTTCACATCAACAACAAACTCTGGCCCCCAAATGTGAACAAGAAGAACCACTGGAATTTCTGCAATCATTTCCAAATGCAAGGCTTAACCCAGTGTTTCTCAACCTCGGGGTGGGACACCTGGGGGGTTCGTGAAAGGGTGTCAGAAAACACAGCATTTTCTGTTGGTCATGGGGGTTCTGTGTGGGAAGTTTGGCCCAATTATATAGTTGGCAGGGTTCAGAATACTCTGATTGTAAGTGAACTATAAATCCCAGCAACTACAAATCCCAAATTTCAAGGTCTATTTCCCCCAAACTCTACCAGTGTTCACATTTGGGCATATTGAGTATTTGTGCCAAGTTTGGTCCAGATCCATCATTGTTTGAGTCCACAGTGCTCTCTGGATGTAGGTGAACTACAACTCCAAAACTCAAGGTCAATGCCCACCAAACCCTTTCAGTATTTTCTGTTGCTCATGGGAGTTCTGTGTGCCAAGTTTGGTTCAATTCCATCATTGGTGGATTTCAAAATGCTCTTTGATAGTAGGTGAACTGTAAATCCTAGCAACTACAATTCCCAAATGACAAAAATTAACCCCCCACACCACCAGTATTCAAATTTGGGCGTATCAGGTATTTGTGCCAAGTTTGGTTTAGTGAATGAAAATACATCCTACATATTAGATATTTACATTAGAATTCATAACAATAGCAAAATTACAGTTATGAAGTAGCAACAAAAATAATTTTCTGGTTGAGGGTCGCCACAACATGAGGAACTGTATTAAGGGGTTGCGGCATTAGGAAGGTTGAGAACACTGGCTTAACCAGAGGATAGTCAAAAAGCTTCTCATGGAGGTTATAGTTTAGAGATCTAGTGCCATTGGCCTGAGAGCCCAGAACTTGGAAATATGTATTTATTGGACTGCAATCTCAAGAGCAGGCATGGACAACCTTGGAACCTCCAGGTGTTTTGGACTTCCACCATTCCTAACAGGCCCTTTCTTCAGCTTAAGTGGCTGAGCGGGAAAAGGAAGAGGCTGTTAGGAATGATGGAAGTTAAACTCCAAAACATTTGGATGGAGGGCCCAAGTTTGTCCAGGCCTGATCTAAAGGTTCCCAATCATGGAGGAAGAGTAGAGGATTCTGGTGGTAGATAGGTTCTCATGGAGAAAGGTAAAGTTCTCAGGCTCTGTCCATATTCATTCACTCTGGCAGTTGACCTGTACCAGGTATGCTTTTCAGATCTTGCTTGACCATTTATTTATTTATTTATCATGTCAGGAGTGAACCAAACAGTTGTATTGTATTTTTAAAAAACCACACACACAAAGTTTGCAAACTTGGCATTCTATTAAATGTCCTTTGACTAGTAGCTGGCCACGGAGTGCCTCTGATGTTGCTATAAGAAGGTCCTCCATTGTGCATGTGGCAGGGCTCAGGTTGCATTGTAGTAGGTGGTCTGTGGTTTGCTCTTCTCCACACTCGCATGTTGTGGACTCCACTTTGTGGCCCCATTTCTTAAGGTTGGCTCTGCATCTCATGGTGCCAGAGCGCAGTCTGTTCAGCGGCTTCCAAGTCGCCCAGTCTTTTATGTGCCCAGGAGGCAGGCATGTAGCCAGGGGGGGGGGGGGCTTGGGGGCTTCAGCCCCCCCCCCCCGAAATTCTCATGGTGGTTCGCGAAAAGGCCTTACTGGTGCATTATTTAAACTGTTATATTTATTCATATCATGATCTGATCACCATACTCAATATATCCCATATGCATGGGGGTATTGGGGTAATGATACAAAAGGTTTGCTAGGCTAGACCCTCTTTCACTCAGACTCACCCCCCCCCGAAACTCAGCCCCCCCGAAAAAAATCAGCCCCCCCCCCCCGAAACGAAATCCTGGCTACGGGCCAGCCAGGAGGGAGTCTTTCATTTGGTATCAGCCATTGATTGAGGTTCTAGGTTTAGGCCTGCCACTTTGGACTCTCGCTTGCTGAGGTGTTCCAGAGAGTATCTCTGCAGAACTTAGAAAACTATTTCTTGATTTAGGGCGCTGGTGTGCTGGCTGATACTCAAACAGGGGTTGGGCCAGAGATAATAATGCACATAATGCACATATCCAATTAGGCCAGTGGTTCCCTTGGTACCTTTTTTTGACCAGGGACCACTTTGACCAGGGACCACTTTGACTCGGGACCACTCTGACCAGGGACCACTTTGGCCAGGGACCACTTTGGCCAGGGACCACTTTGACTCAGGACCACTTTGACCAGTGATCACTCTCCAACATTCGTACCAAAAGGGTTACGAGTCAGTTTTTGGTAAACTTTAGATTCGGTGTGGTTATTTGGGGTGCTGATTCAGAAAATTGCATTGGATAGACCACATCAGCTCTACAGAACATATACCATCCAGTAGTTGCCATCTACTCGTCTACAGAAGACCATATTGAATAATCTGGCGCAGTAGACCTTGGGAACACTGAGTTAGGCAAAGTTCATTTTTTCCTTTCTTTGCCAATCTCTTCCTTTCCCAAATTTAGGGATGGCCGAATAGGGAAGATTACCATTAATTTCTGATGATATGCAGGAGAGAAAATGGCTCACTGGTTTCACATCTGGACATGTCACTTGGTGGGTCAGAACAATGTTGTTGGTTGTATGTTTTCAAGTAGTTTTCTAGCCTTGTGATGTGCCTTGGAGTCATTTCCAACTCATGGCGATCCAAAAGCGAATCTATCACGGGGCTTTCTTGACATGGTTTATTTGGATCTCGTTTACTTTGGCGTGGCCTGGGGCAGAAATGTTTGACATGCCCAAGGTCACCCGGTGTGGGTTTCTGTGGCTTGGCGGGGATCCGAACCCCGCTCTTCAGAGTCAGAGACAAACAAACAAAAAACCCTTTCCACTAAGCCTGTCGGGGTTGACATCTTGCGCCTTCCCTTCTTGCCTCTTCTTTCTCCATTTCGCTAAATCCCGGGAGCATTGTGTCGGAGAAGGTCCCGCTCTCATCCCGGTTTGACGCGTGGGTCGATCGCGTTGGGCGCGCCTCCCTGTGGAGCACGTGCGCCGGACCTTTCTCGGGGCGTGAATCCTGCCCACCTGCGCTTTCCTCCCCATGAACCCGCCTGGGAGTGTATGTGGGCGCTGTTCAGGGTCTGGGGCGGCAGGGCAGGGACTCGGAAGTGGGGAGGGCTTGATCTCCGAGGAAGCCCGCCTCAGATTGGGCCCTCCGCCCCAACTCTCAGGTCCAGGGGAGCAGTAGGTCTAGATCGCCCCTTGGTTTAAGCCTGCCTTGCACCGTGTCCCTTTGCGAGAGCTCCCTCTGTCAGCTCCAGCTCCCTATGAGGGGAAATGAGAGAAGCCTCCCACAAGGATGGTAAAACATCAAACATCCCGAAGTCCCTGGGCAACATCCTTGTAGACGGCCAATTCTCTCACACCAGAATCATAGAGTTGGAGGAGACCTCATGGGCCATCCAGTCCAACCCCCTGCCAAGAAGCAGGAATATTGCATTCAAAGCACCCCGGACAGATGGCCATCCAACCTCCAAAGAAGGAGCCTCCACCACACTCCGGGGCAGAGAGTTCCACTGCTGAACGGCTCTCACAGTCAGGAAGTTCTTTCTAATGTTCAGGTGGAATATCCTTTCTTGTAGTTTGAAGCCATTGCTCTGCCTCCTAGTCTCCAGGGCAGCAGAAAATAAGCTTGCTCCCTCCTTCCAATGACTTCCCCTCACATATTTATACATGTCTCTTCTCGGTCTTCTCTTCTTCAGGCTAAACATTCTCAGCTCTTTAAGCCGATCCTCATGGGGCTTGTTCTCCAGACCCTTGATCATTTTAGTTGCTCTCTTCTGGACACATTCCAGCTTATCAATATCTCTCTTCAATTGTGGTGCCCAGAATTGGACACAGTGTGATTCCAGCTGTGGTCTAACCAGGGCAGAATCGGGGGGTAGCATGACTTCCCTGGATCTAGATACTGTACTCCTATTGATTGCCCCCCATTCTGTATCTTTGCAGTTCCTCAAGTCGCTCCGTTTCCAAGTTCCTGTCGCTTCCCACCTTCCTTTCTTCCTCTTTCCCCAAGCCGCGGCTGAGCCTGAGCCGGGAGTGCCGCAGAGCAGTAAAAAGAGCGAGCGGGCCACTCGATGTCACGGAGGAGGCGGAGGGAAGGAGAGAAGCAGGGAGGGAGCGGCGGCGGCTCTCTGGTGCTGCGCAGGTGAAGGTTGCGCGCTAGGACCTGGGGGAAGCCTCTGGGCCTCCCCTCCCTCCTTTTCTCTCCCCCCCCCTCTCCTTCTCCCGCCCGCAAGCTGGACTACCTTAAACCCAACCCAATGCCTCTTCCTGCGCCACTTTCCCCTGCGAGCTTGGATGGAAAAGACACAGCCGAGGGGGAGAAGAAAGAGAGCGAGGGAGAGCGGGCGAGAGAGCGAGAAGGCGCCGCACCAGCCGCGGCCCCAGCAGAGGCAGCCTTGCGGAGAGCTTGCCTACACCTGTTCCGCCGCACGGGCGCCCAGCGGGGAAGACCGGCAGCTCTCGGGAGGAGGAAGGAGGAGGAGGAGGAGGAGGAGGAGGGCTGCCTTGCTTCGCGTGGAACAGGAGGAGGAGGAGGAGGAGGAGGAGGATCCACGCCAGGCTGAAGCGCCGAGCCGCCTCCTCAGGATCCTGGATCATAGAGCCGGACGTCAAAAGTTCTTTCTTGATAAATAAGCAGTGAAGCAACCAAACGGCCCCTTTTCTGGATTTTTGGGTCCTTTGGGAGAGGGAGAGACCCCCCCTCTCGCCCCCTCCTCCTTCTCCTCTTCCTCCTCTCCTTCTGGGCAGAGAGTCCAAACAGCGCATGCCTGGCTGGGGCTCGGACCCGTGAAGCCCCGAGGGCGGCCGGTTGGCCTCTGCGCCTCTTCCCAGGCTTCTCTCCCTCCCTTGCACCTCCTCCCGGCCCCTGATCCATGCGCCCCCCTTCTCCTCCTCCTCCTCGGCCTCAGGGCTCCGAAGTTGCGATGCGGAGCCCCACGGAGAAACTCGGGACCCCCCTGCTCCTCCTCATGACGGCCGGATGGGCGGAAGAGCTGACCGCTTGCTAAAAGGGAGCCCTGCCAGGGGAACAAACGAGCCGGATCTCTCTCCGCTGGCTCTGGGCGCGAGGAGGATGAGCCCACGCGCGTCCCCCGCGGCGGAGGGCGCTTCCTAAGGGGTTGACCTTGAACCCCAGACCCAGCCAGGAAAAGAGAGCAGGAGGCCTCGGAGGACCCCGCCTTGAGCCTCATTGATGGATTAAAGGAAGAAGTCACCTTTCGGCGTGGAAGTGGGAGGGGAGAGTGGCGGCGCAGCAACCTGCTTTGCCTCCTCTCCTCGCGTGAAAGGGAAACGGGGGAGAACGGCGAGTCCTGGCTCTTGGGCACAGACGTGACGGTTTTGCTGCAAGCGAGGGACCTCCCCCCTCCCTCCCTTCTTCCTTCCTTCCCTTTTCCTTCCTTCCTCCCTCCTTCCTCCTCCCCCTCCTCATGGCTCCCTTAGGAGAAGTTGGCAACTATTTCGGGGTCCCGGATGCGGCAGCGGCGGCGGCGGCGGGGGCGCCCTTCGGGAACATGCCGGTCCTGCCGGCGGACAGCCCGGTCCTGCTGAGCGACCACTTGGGCCAGGCCGAGGGGCTGCCTCGTGGGCCGGCCGTGACGGACCTGGACCACTTAAAGGGCATCCTGAGGCGCAGGCAGCTCTACTGCAGGACTGGCTTCCATTTAGAGATTTTCCCCAATGGGACCATCCAAGGCACCAGGCAAGACCATAGCCGATTTGGTAGGTATGGGCCAGGAGGGGGAGGGGAAGGAGGGCGGGGGAAAAGGGGGGCCAGGAGAGAAGTTGGTGGCTTTTCTGGTAGGGAGCCAAGGGCATGGAGGAGGAGGAGGAGGGGGGGGGGAGTCCATGTCCACGGTTATAGTTGTGGAAGAGCTCTGAAAGGGAGGGAAGGGAGCCTCAAGGAGTTGCAGATGGTATGCGCCAGGGACATCATTTCTTTTGAAGCAAAAGGGAAAAAACCATAGCTGTAAGTGCACATGAAAAAAAAAAAGGTTGAACACTGTGAAAGCCACCCACTACATGGCTACCAGTCTCCTCCCAGTAGACTCAAATCAAGGAAAAGCTTTATTAGAAGGACCACTCCTCTTGGCATCCCCCCAGCAACAGCAAGGGTATCTTTCTGGGCAGCTCAACCAGGAAATCCCAACTGGATGCCCCCCCCCCTCCTAAGAATGGGCAACTTGGAAGTCCCTGAACAGAGTCAGAAGTGGAGTAGGCAGATCAAAGGACAACCTGGCAAAACCTAAAAGAATCCCCCACCTTGTGTCACTGTGGAGCAGAACAGACAACTCCGCATCTGTGTGCTTGTCCACTATGCCCTGCCTCATGTACAGATGCAGAATTGTTGGAGACTACAGACAATGCCGTTGCTGTTGCCGGTTTTGATCAAAAGATATTTAGCCACCTGCGCTCCTTCACAGCAGGTGGCCAGGCTTGGGCGTAGGGACCAGGCATGGGCAAACTTAGTCCCTTCCAGGTGTTTTGGTCTTATTTCAACTTACTTCAACTCCCACCATTCCTAACAGTCGGTTGAAGTCCAAAACATCTGGAGGGCCGAAGATTGCCCATGCCTGTTATGCACAATCAGTAATAAACTATAACAATAATAATGCTATTGCAATAATAATAATAATAATAATAATAATAATAATAATAATAATAATAATTTTAGGATGGAACCCTGCTATAGAGAAGTTCCTCTGCTCTTATTATATGTTTCCATTTTGAAGCTGCAGTTTTATGAGCCCCTTTAGGCTCTTAAAGAAATGATCTTGACCTCCCTGGGGTTGGATGCATCTCTACTGTAGAATGAGTGCAGATTGACACCGCCTCAAACTGCCAAGGCTCAGTGCTGTGGAATAATGTGAGTTGTAGTTTGGTGAGGCACCCCTTGGCAGACTTAAACGGCTGAGGGGGAAAAGGAAAGGGCCTGATTCTGTTAGGAATGCTGGGAGTTGAAATCCAAAACACCCGGAAGGCCCAAATCTGCCCATGCCTGTTCTGCGGTGTGGATGCCCTGTTAGTCAGGCATAGATCTCTTGGCCTAATATGCTGGTCTCATCTAGGGCAGACCCACTGTTAGGTGTTGCCTTCCTCCTTGGCGATGGGTTGAATCTGCAGAGGGCGATGATACTGGTCGCCTCCAGTTCCCATTTGATTCCAGTGGGTCTGCTGCAGAGAAGAGTCAGGCTGGACCCAACTCGGTGAAACTTCCTCCTGAGCCGACGGGTTGCGGGGGCGGGGGACGGGGGGACGGGACGGGGGACGTCTCTCTGCTTTTCCTTGGAGGGTGGGGCGGGCTGTGAAGAAGGCCGAGACAGAGAGACGCCCCTCCTCCCCGCTCCCCTCCACCTGCCCGAAAGGCAAAGCGAGGAAAGACCCCGCCCCCACCGAGGGGGATCCCCTGTACCCCCGCCAATTGCCAAGAGCGCGCCGATATTCGCCTGCCTGCCTGAGATCCCGCCGAGATCTTTCTCTCCCCCCCCCCCCCACGCGCTCTGCGGACTCCTAAGCCACGCCGTCGCTTGGTGGTCGCTGGCCTGAAAACGCGGGCAGCCCAGGCAAGAGCCGCGCAGGTGGCCGCCCCCTCCCCGCCCCTTTCCCCGAAGCTCCGAAGAATCCTTTCTGTGACTCAGCACTGAAGAGCTCGCCTGAGACAGTGGCTTGAGCGTCCGACTCTGGAGAGACGCTCGGCCGTGGAGACCTCCCTCCCTTGAGTGACCTTAACAGGTTACACTTGGTCAGCCTCAGAGGAAGGCACAGTGAGGCAACCCTCCTCTGAACCCCTTGTCGAGAGAACCCCATGTGTGCCTTCAAACGACTTGAAGGCACACAAGGACACAGTAGAAGGCCAGGAATGGAGTCACTTGGGGTTCTATGCAGTTAGACTAGTCATGGGCCAACTTGGGCCCTCCCTCCAGGGGTTTTGGACTTCCACTCCTATAATTCCTAACAGCTTCAGGCTCTTTCCTTTTCCGCTTAAGTGGTTGAGGAGGGAAAGGAAGGGCTCTGAGCCCATCTTGTCAAGAGAACCTCTTGTGTGCCATCAAATGACTTGAAGGCACACAAGAACACAGCAGAAGATCAAGGGTGGAGTCACTTGGAGCCCTATGCAGTTAGACCAGTCATGGGCCAACTTATGCCCTCCGTCTAGGGTTTTTGGACTCCTACCATTCCTAACAACTTCAGGCTCTTTCCTTTTCCACTTAAGTGGTTGAGGAGGGTCTGAGGCTCTGAACCAATCTTGTCAAGAGAACCTCCTGTGTGCCTTCAAACGACTTGAAGGCAAGCAAGAACACAGCAGAAGACCAGGCGTGGAGTCACTTGGAGCTCTATGCAATTAGACCAGGCATGGGCCAACTTAGGCCCTCCCTCTAGGGGTTTTGGACTCCTACCATTCCTAACAACTTCAGGCTCTTTCCTTTTCCACTTAAGTGGTTGAGGAGGGTCTGAGGCTCTGAACCAATCTTGTCAAAAGAACCAGGCATGGGCTAACTTCGGCCCTCCCTTCAGGTCTTTTGGACTTCAACTCCCACCATTCCTAACAACCTCAGGCCCCTTCCCCCCCCCCCCCCCTCAGCCGCTGAAGCCTGGAGAGTTATTATCTGGCGGGGAACAGGAGTCTCCATTCTTTAACCCAGGCCTGGGTAAACTTGGGCCCTCCAAATGTTTTGGACGTCAACTCCTACCATTCTTAACAGCAGTGGAACTCTCTGCCCCGGAGTGTGGTGGAGGCTCCTTCTTTGGAAGCTTTTAAACAGAGGCTGGATGGCCATCTGTCGGGGGTGCTTTGAATGATATTTTCCTCTTTCTTGGCGGGGGTTGGGCTGGATGGCCCATGAGGTCTCTTTCAACTCCATGATTCTATGAATGAGATCTACAACTGGGTTGTTGTGTATTTTCCGGGCTATATGGCCATGTTCCAGAAGCATTCTCTTCTGACATTTCTCCTGCATCTATGGCAGGCATCCTCAGAGGTTGTGAGATCCACAACTCTTTCTTTTATGGTTTTATTAGAGCTTTTACGATCATACCGCTGCCTGGAAAGAAGAGATGCGCCCCAAAGCGGGTGGCTGTGGGGAGATACAAGTTGGCCCATGCCTGATCCAAGAGTGGGCCAAATGGGACCTCCCCTGAGAGATGGAAGCTTGAGGTGGGTGGGAAAGTCCTGCCCAGGGAGGGAGATAGATAGATCCCCAAACAGAGTCCAGGGAAGCGGGAGAAGGAAGAGACCTTGCGCTGGGCTGGGTTTTGCGGCGTGGAGGCAGGAGGACGCGGCTGCGGTCTTGGCGGCCGATTGGCTGGGCCGAGATCCAAAGCCGGGGAGCTTCTGGTGCGTGAAGAGGCGAGATTTGCACACGCTGCGGTTCAGCCCCGCGGCAGCCGGCGGGCTCACGCCGCTAGCAGGTGTACGGCGGCCGAGCTGGTGCTCCCCGCTCCCTCGCACAGTGGCCTTGGCAGCGGCACTGGCAGGAGGCCGCCGCCGGGTCCTAGGCCCCGCCCTGCTCCTCGCCAGCTGCCGCTTCCCGCCGCCCTTCCAGGGGAGGAAGGCGCTCCTCACAGATCTGATGCAGAGGGAAGGCATCGAAAGATATCCAGTTCCCTGAGTCGCTCCTCATAGGACTTGGCTTCCAGATCCTTGATCATTTTGATCATGTTCCAGCTTGTCAATGTCCTCCATCAGTTGTGCCCAGCACTGTTTATTTATGACATTTATATGCCGCCCTTCTCACTCTGATATTAAAATGTTGCTCTCACTAGACATAGTATCCCAGGTGAGGCCTGATAAAAGTGGACTAGAGTGGTGCCAGGACTTCCCCCCACCTCTGTTGGTGCAGGCTAGAATCACATTGGCTTTTTAAGCTGCCACATCAAACTGTTGATGTTTGTCATCTACTAAAACCTCCAAATCCTTTTCAGAGGTACTCTTTTCACGCAGGTGTCACCCATCCTTGGAATATTTCTTTATTTATGAAAGAAAAAGTAGCCTTAAGAAAGATATTAAACTCCATATTGGACTCCATATTGGATCAAGGGCAGGTTATTATTATTATGTTTGGAACACAATTGGGATATTGTCCTAAAATAGTTCTTGGATTTTTAGAAAGTTCTTTAACGGAAAACACATCTACTACTTCTCCAGGGTGGGCAAGTAATAGTTATTGTAAGAGACCAAATGTACAGGTAAGCAGACAGAGCAAAGGATAGAGTTTGAGTAAGGTGTAGCTTATCCAGCAGATGGTAAAAATTATGCCTGCTGCTGCACCCTCTGTGAAATGAGGTATAGGAGCTTTGTCTGTTCACCCATTTCTAGTTAATAGGTGACAGAAAGAGAGGACATGAGAGGACATGATGTGACTTGATGCATTGCCTCTCCCTGCTATTCATCTTTCCTTGTGAAGCCTAGTAAGGGGAGGTTTGGGAGGAGCTGATAGGAGTTGGACTCTAACAACAACCACAACTTCTCCATGTACATGCTGTGATGTTATGAATGCATCCCTTACTCCTTGTGAGACTAGAGCAGGCATGGGCAAACTTGGGCCCTCCCTTCAGGTATTTTGGACTTCAACTCCCACAATCCCTAACAGCCTCAAGCCTCTTCCTTTCTCCCTCAGCTGCTTAAGAAAAGGGCCTGGGGCTGTTAGGGATTGTGGGAATTGAAGTCCAAAACACCTGGAGTCCAAAACTACCAGCTGTCAGGAATGGTAGGAGTTGAAGTT